ATATCAAACTCCCAACAATAGATGTATAAGGAAATATTTCTATTTGTTTTCATTCCAAGTCATTCTTTGGACATTGCATGAGACTAAATTTGTCTCATTTTTGTATTAGAATGGGAGATGTTGAACATTTATCCATCCTAAATCTATCTAAAACTTTATTAATATATGTTTTTTGAGACAAACCTAACAATCTTTATGATCTATTACAGAATATTTATATTCATATCACATAGTATGTCTCACTCATATCTTTTATTTCAAAGTTGTTAGAGAGAAATTTCTTGGTCCCACTTAATATACCAAGATCATTATTCGCAAGCAAGATATCATCAACATATAAAATTCCCACTGACCTTCAGATATATACACTGATCAATAGTATTTTCCTTAAATTCAAAGGACATAATAGTATCATTGAACTTAAGATACTATTGTTGAGAGGCTTATTTAAGTCTATATATTGATTTCTTAAGTTTACATATCATGTGACCTCTTTATTCTTCAACAAAATCAGTTGACTTTTCGTAAATCTTGATATTTGGATATTGGTTGTTCAAAACATGTCACTTTAGAAAAGTTGGTTTGTCGATCTCAATGAGAGTGTTAGATCAAAGGTAAAATTTGTAGATAATCTGATAATGAGCTGTGAAGGGAAAGGAAGAATAATGATCAACAGAGGAAATGACAAATCTGTAATAATTTCATATGTGCTCTATGTTCCATTCATAAAGCACAACTTGTTAAATATTAGTCAACTTCTTCAGAAAGGACATTTGATCGATTGGAGGTCGAAAGAGCAAATGTTGAGATTCCTCGATAAGAATGAGACACCAATTTTGAAGGCACCTTTGAGTAAAAACAGAGTTTTTCGAGTCGATATTCTAGTATCGAATAAATTGTGTTTTTGTAGCAGCAGTCTCTGATGTCAATTGGTTGTGGCATTTAAGGTATGGTCATCTTGACTTTGATAGTTTGAGTCAACTTGCAAAAAAGGATATGGTAATTGAATTACCTCGAGTCCAAAAATGTAAAGACATATGTGAAGGTTGCATGACAGAGAAACAAGCCAAAAATCCCATTAATGTGTGCATCGAGATCAGAAGTAAGGATATATTGGAAGTTATTTACACCGATGTGTGTGGACCCTTCGATGCTCCTTCACTAGGTGGTAACAAGTATTTTGTGACATTCATCAATGACTATAGCAAGAAGATGGATGTGGGTGAACTTGCTCGAGAAGAAGTCAAAGGTGTTTAGGTGTTTCATCGATTTTAAATTGATGGTCAAGAACAGTGTGATCGGGCTATTAAAGTGTTAAGATCAAACAGTGGTGGAGAATATATTGTGAGTTTGCATCATTTTGCAAGAAGAATGGTATTTTACATGAGATTGTACCCTCATACACACTGCAACATAATAGAGTCGCGGAAAGAAGAAATCGAACAATTTTAGATATAGTTAGAAGTATGTTGAAGACCAAAGGCTTGTCACATTCGTTTTGGGCAGAAGCGGTATCGACAGTCGTATACATTTTAAATTGATGTCCAATGAAGAAAGTGAAGGAGAAAATACCAGAATAAGTATAGTATGGGAGAAAGTCAAATATAAGCACCTGAGAATATTTGGCTCGATTGCTTGGAGGTAGGTTCATGAGGAGAGAAGGAAGAAACTCGATAACAAAAGCCAAAAGTTAATTCTTGTAGGATATCATTCAACTAGTGTGTATAAGTTGTATGATCCTATCAAGAAGAAGATCATCGTCAGTAGAAATATTGTTATTGATGAGAAAGATTACTATAAATTGTATTCAATGGTGGAAAATCAAAGTGTTTGCTTCGATGACACAGGTGATGCAAAAATTAAAGTAATGATCGATCGATTTCTAGTATCGAAGGTGGTGAAAATCGATCAATATCAGAAATCGAAGAAGACAGAAATCAATCAATTTCTAAAATCAAAAGAAGGAGAAATTGACCAATTAGATCGATTAGAACAATAGTAAGACTCAATGATTATATGATTAATACTGATGATACTGTCACAATATCTGGACAGATAATTGGAGAAATGGAGGACAAGAATGATATTGTACATCTAACATTATATGTTGATGTCGAGTCTGAACCAATTTGCTTTGAAGAAGCGATCAAGGATCCCAAATGGATCGAAACCATGAAAGAGGAGCTATTGAAAATCGAGAAGAATAAAACATGGACATTAACTGATATCCTAGAGAATCAAAGACCAATTGGAGTAAAATGGATGTACAAATGAAATTGAAACTGGATGGAACAGTTGTAAAACATAAAGCTAGACTTATGACAAAAGATTTTCTATAGAGAGAAGGTTTAAACTACAAAGAAGTGTATGCACCTGTTGCTAGGATAGAGATAATAAGAACAATTATAACTCTCGTCAACTAAAGGGTGTCAGATGTATCAAATGGATGTAAAATCTACATTTTTGAATAGTAAATTGGAGAAAGAAGTTTATATTATACAACTACAGGGGTTTTTTATTACTGGAGAAGAATAGAAGATTCTTAGATTAAAAAGGAGTTATATGGCTTGAAACATGTCCCAAGCTCTTAAAACACTAAAATAGATTGTTGTTTTCGACAACAAGGATTCTTGAAGTGTGAAGTTGAATATGAGAATTACTCGAAGATCAAAGGAGATGATGTGTTAATTTTTTGTTTATATGTCGATGATTTTTTTATTACAGTTAGTAAAATTACTTCGATTAATAATTTTAAAAGGAGGATGAAAGATCAGTTTAACATGACCAATCTAGGGAAACTGTCATATTTTCTGGGAATGAAATTCATCGAAGGCAAAAAAAAGTATTTTGATTCACCAAAATAAATATGCTAAAGAAGTTTAGAATGAGTGAGTATAGTGCGACAATTACATCAGTCGAGACAAATGTGAAACTTGACAAAAGATAAAGATCGGAAGCTTGTAAATGCTACTGTTTACAGACAAATAATTTACTGCTTAAGATACTTATGTTGTAGTAGACCGAATATTTGTTTTGGTGTTGGATTGCTAAGTAAATTTATGGAGAAATCCAAAGCATCTTATCTTACAACAGCTAAGAGAGTTTTGAGGTATATTAAAGGGATGATTGATTTTTGTATTCTATTACCAAATGCTACACATCAAAATGAAGAAGAGTTGGTTGAATATTTTGATTCTGATTGGATTAGAGATAAAGTTGGTTTCAAAAGCACATCAAGTTATGTATTCCTATTTGAAAAATCACCAATTTCATGGATGCTCAAAATTACAACTTGTTGTAACACTTTCCTCTTGTGAAGCTGAATATACAATTTGTTGAACACTATGGATTGAGAGTTTGGTAAATCGAGTAATAAGTTAATCATCCTATTCTTGAAAAATCTAATTCATCATGGAAGAAGCAAATATATCAAATTGAGATTTCATTTCATTAGAGATAAAAGAAGCTAAAATTTGAGCATTGTGAGATGAACGAGCAATTGACGAATATTATGACGAAATCTTTGAATAATCAAAAGTTTGAATTGATAAAGAAATTATATATTAAATCAATTATTAAATTAGAGAATTATATTAGATAATAATTCAATATTTATTGTGTAATGATTATTTAAGTTAGATTAATTAGTCTAATAAACCTTTATAACAATTAAGTATTTTCGTAATTATAATTATATAATTATGTATAATTTTTTTATTCTCCTTACTTGTTATGAGATACTTTTTCACTAACATCGAGTAAACTTTATCAACACTCTTCTTTTTATTATTGGAAAACAAAAAAGCCTACCCTTATTTGTCTGCTATTGCTCAAAAGAAATAAACGAATCAGAAAATTTAAAAAGTAAAAATAAAAAAGTGGCCAGGAAAGATATATTAGGAATTATCAAAAGAATAAAGGAAGAATAAAATATCATATTTGATACTATTAATTTTTTTAATCTGGTTTATCATTTTGCCATTATTGTTGTTGTTTAATTATAGGGTTGATTTATTGAATGGTCAAATCAGGCATTCAGAATTACAAAGACAGACAAATTCACTTATGTTATGGCAGATTGTCGTCATAGATGTTTTCTTATGTTTTGTCAGATGATTGAACTCGGACGGTGAAGTTAATATACACGTTGCCATCATCAGGAAAACTGTAATACTATGCATTTTGGCTGTCAAAAATTGAAAGTTTATAAATTCATTTCGAAATTTGTAAAACGAGACAACGTGGACTACCGATCAGTCCAATAACGGAAGAGACACGTTTCATGTCCTTTTTGAATGAAGTAAATATGTTTATTATAGCTTAAATCCGAAAAACAATTACTTTTAAAAATTGAAAAAAAAATGAACGATTATTTCTCTTAAAATAAATTTTAACACATGTAAATTGTTTCACAAAAAATATACCATCAGTTATGAATTATGAAAAAGGAGTTAAATTGTCAATCCTTTTGGCTTTTGATGTATTAACGATAATATCAGGGTTTTTTAGGGTAATATTAAAGTTTTTAAACAAATGTTCATGTATAAAAATAATTTACCCGTTGAAATATATGGTCAAATTCTTCAGGGGACATCCTAAAAATAAAATGCAAGGAAATCAACATCCATATATAAATACGTTAATTTTGATACTTACATTCATACAACTTATTTGATTTGAAAAGTACATAAAAGAGCAATACTAAAGCCAATAACAACAGAAAAGAAAAAAGATGCCATGCTCCTTCCTATGACTTGGAAGCATACATTAACATTTATTCACATTATGCTGCATTTAAACTTATAAAACTAGGGTGCTTCAAATTTCCTTGATCGCAAGACCTTGCTTACGAAAAACCTTTATGTTGGTTGTTGGATACTTTGCTTGAGATTGAAGTTCCACTCCTTCATTAGAACTGGTTGATCAAATTATGTTTAGCTCTGACAAGTATGAGATAACGTTGTTGACCATGATCATATTCAAAAACAGAATGGTGATGCTCAAGGAGTGGCCACGTTTTCCTTTGCAAGGGGAGCAATCTCATCGCCATCAATTCCAGCATCACTGCCAGCAACGTCTAGGTTCAACAGCACTTTTTCCCATTGTTTCGCTGGTCCCTGTATCATAATCATCTCAATGATAAAATAAACTGCATTCCTTGGCTCATGCCTTGGAGAATGTAGCATTTTTATCTAGTTTGCTAAAACAAACGTTTCACACATGCTTACCTTCCATGAAAAGTCTTGGACCATACAGTTCTGGATCATTCTTTTCATGGCTGGGGTACCATAAGCTTCAAGGGCTCTCTTCACGGTAGATGCTAACTTTTCCACATCAGCTGGATCAATAGCTTCACACTACAGGAAAAGCCCAAAACAATCTTCAGATTCAGTCCTCTATCAACAAAAAACAAGGCTATTTTTCTACTCTACTTACGTCTACGTCGAATGCTCCCATGTGGAATCCAGTATACCCTTCTTGAACCGTGTCAACAAGTCCACCAGTGGAGGCAACTATGGGCACCTGTCGCAAATGTTTATTGTTTAAAGAGTCAGAAAATGTAGTCACGGAACACCAAGGTGTAGATGAGAAGGAAATAGAGAAAAAGAGCCCAATAGTCTGTACCGTTCCATATGGCATGGAATGCAACTGAACTAGACCACAGGGTTCAAATCTACTTGGGATCACTATGAAGTCAGCTCCAGCAATGATCTTGTGAGCCAAAGGACCGTTGAATTTTGCTATCCCCCTGGCCTTGTCAGGATAAATTTCCTCGAGTTTCGCAATTTCCTTCTCCAAGGTCTTTTTGCCAGTTCCCTGAAGAAATTAAGGATTGAACCATTAGCATAACTTTTATCTTTTAGCGGCATCAATAATATGGATTAATACCACAACAATAATAGAATGAAGACACTTACAAGAATTATGATCTGAACATTCTGGTCAATGAATTTTGGGATAGCTTCCACAAGAATATCTGAACCTTTCTGCTCTTCAAGCCTACCAATGAAGCCTACCAGAGGGATATCCCTGTCAACGGGCAAGCCAACCTCTGCTTGAAGGGCCTCTTTCAGCAGTAATTTTGCTTCCATGACCTAAGAATGACAGTTTTGATAAGCACGTGCTAATTTCTATGGTCCATAGTTCAACCAATCAGCAAACCATATTTAATACTCCATCAGTTCCTTTTTATCTGTTACAATTTCAAAGTTCAAGACACCTTGACTTTACTATTAATAAATGTGATAATAGGAAACTCTCAATAACATCAAGAACATTTGTTATATTCCTTAATATCTATCAATTAGAAAAGATAAAAAGGAAGTGAGGGGTAACAGGAAGATACCACTTACAGTTTTTGTATCGAAATGTAGATCTATGAATTTATCAGTTTGTGGACTCCACTCCCGAATATCCATGCCATTCACTATACCGGTGATGCCAGTTTTACGAATTATATTGTCCATTTCTACACCTTTATCCTGTCCAGAAACGAGTTCCTGGGCATAATATGGACTTACAGTGAGCACTAGGTCCGATTCTAATATTGCAGCCTTCATCCAGTTAATTTTCCTTCCTTTCACAGGTTTAAGATGCCTGAAAATGAGACATGAGAAATATTAACATGGTTGGATGTGTAAGAGTCAAGTGTATCAATAAACTAATAAATTTAAGATATTTTGTAAGTAATTTTGGAACAGATGGTGTCGTACCCATCAGTAAATTCAAAAGTGCTCCTGTATTCATTAGGTAAATTGAGAAGAGAGAAGTCTTCGAACGCATGCCTACCCTGGTAGGCTATGTTATGAATACAAAATGCAACCTGCATGACAGGCCAAGGAAAGTAAGTTTCCCTGGAAAGAATGAATGATGACTGATGAAGACAAGCGAGCAGAAACTAAATAAATCCTCACCTTTGCGTGTCTATATATCCCCCTGGTCTGGTACATTGTTTTCAAGTAGCATGGAAGAAGAGCAGTGTGCCAATCATTGGCAATAAAGATTACATCTTCACCTGCTCGAATACAGAAAAAGCTTGTAAACTAAATTTAAATATCAAAGAATAAACCAGAGAGCCATACCATATGGTCCCGAGAAATATTTGCTGCTGTTTAAGTTCAAAACCCTCGGTGCCTCGAGTGCAGCCTGAAAGTTGTTAAATACATTGACAATGTCATATCCAGAGTCAATAAATATAAATGTGTTGTAATTCTCGGCTATCAAATACTAGTACCAAATAAATACTCTCAACAAACATTAAAGTCAATTCAAATCCATGCTCTCATAAACGTAATAAGCAATGACGAATTGAAACTGCAAATGGCCGTTGAAGGTGGTCGACAATGTTACATGTCTTAAGACACGTTGCCATTTCTTCAAGAAATTAAATCAGTTGAAACAGAGAGAGCAGGTGTAATTATGATTCATTCAGAGGACACGGAAATTTGAGCAATTATGCAAACAAATGCGTGTTAGCAGTTAGGGAAGAGAATGACCGCGGTAAATATTACTCATGATTTTATGAGCTAAAGGCTATGACCTCTATCATTAACAAAAGTTTTTACAGGTTAAACTATAGAGAAAAGTTACCTGGCATAACAAGCTGAATCTAAGTTGGTTATCTTCATAATCCACTCCAGCTCTAGGGCCATAGAGTTTTGAACCAGTTTTGCCCCACACCTTTTAAGATCAAAATGCAAGAAAAATGTTTAGTTTAATTTGAAGGAGTTATAGTGTCTTCTGTCCTGTAAATATTCTATTGTGTGAAATTGATGATGCCAACAAAAGTATATAACCTTCTCAAGGAAACATGGGTGGTCGACAAAAACACGATCAACTCCTCGCTTGTAGCAGTGAAAGAAACGAACGGTTTCTATTTTATCTCCAACTTTGACCTACGAACACAAAAAAGAAAAATAAAGAATAAAACTGTTCAATCATTAACCAAGAGTTACATAGAGTTATACACATACATGAGGAGAACTAAAAAAGTTACCTCCACCGTCACAGCAGTGTCCCATGCATCTTTGTATTGGTCGTAACGCGGTGACACTGTCATAACACGATGTCCATGTCCCTATATTATTCGGCACGAAACGGGGTCAGCTGAAGAATTAATATTAATTTCTACGTTTCTCTTTACGAGCTAAGGACTAATTTTTCTTTGAAATTTACTTAAGCGATTGAACTTTTTTTTCTGACAATGTTGTTGCCTTTACATATTGGTATCTTTAAGTCAGATTTCAAAAACCTTAAAAGAATAAGATTTTTTATTGAATTATGATATAATTAATACTTTGTTTTCCAATATTATTATTTTGAATGCTTGAAATTAGTTGTATGAACTGGTATCACAAAAAATAATAAATTCACATTTTATTTTATGCTATCCATTCCTCGATCTGTAATTTCTTTTGGCTTTTTAGCTAATGCCTTTTACGGATCTAATCTAGATTTTGGTCCACAAAACCAGCTTTTACTTTATCTTTTCTTCACCAAAAGCCTTATACATTTACTTTTAACGTGTGTCCAGTTGAATTGATTTAATCAGGGTTTAATGATAGTTAAAGAATAAGACAATCAAATCACTTACAGCCAAAGCTGGTGGAAGTCCTCCAAGAACATCACCAAGTCCCCCAGTTTTACTCCACGGTGCCACCTCAGTCCCCACGAAGATCAACTTCATCCCACACTCAATCTTCCCCAAAACCCTCTCACGCCCAATCTTGCTACTCTTCGCAGACAGATAGCTTCTCGTTTTGCTCGCATGCGTGCTTCGCACGTGCACATCGTTCAGAGATCTCAACCCATCGTACTTCAATCCCTCCCCGTTCAGACTCACCTGACCCCAAGATTTCACTCTCCCCTTGGTTCTCCACGCGCCACCCTGCTCGTGCCACGAGTGTTTGGACATTACGTAAGAGCCAGTCGACACTGTTGCCATGCTTATGCCTTCTGCATGCAACACCAAAAATTCATCAAAAACAACGAGAACAATTAGTTTAAGAAATTAAACCAACTATAATAACAATGCAGCGTTAGATTTTGCAGTGGTGAGAGAAAATGCTGAAGATCTAACCAAAATTAGAGTGAAAATAAACAGAATGAAAAATGAGCATGCGAAGGTGACTTGATTTTGAACAAGTGATGAAAGACATTCTGGTTTGTTAGAGAGAAAGTTAGAGTGACTCACCGGTGACGGAGGAGTTGTGAGAAACAGTGGCGAGGGTGTGCAGAGAGTGTGTTTGGAATGAACGAAGATCGTATGAGTGGCGTTATTTGTAGCAGTGCAGAGGCTCTTCCTCGTCCTAAGGTATCACGACACGTGGCAGTCGGTGAGAATTTCATGTTTACGTACCGAGATATCGTAGCTGGTGGGGCCCACCCCTTGTAAGAAAAATCTAATTAATTGCTTCGACGTTTTCCGTGGTTGAAACCCACGTAGGTTTGGTTCATACGAATTTTCTGAATGTGGCTTTGATCGAACCTAAACTTCGATTTTTTGAGACACGTATGAGCCAGGTGTGTTGCATAGTGAAGAATGTGTTGCTTCAAAGTCCAGTGTGTGTTGAATTATAATTTGTTGAATGAATCGACGGCTTCTCTTTTTCTTCGTCTTTTTTTTTCTTGGAAAATATTTTCCATGGAAATCAAGTGTGATTTCGATTTTGCTGCGCCGAGAAAAGAATAAAAATGGAGGCAGAAAGTACCAAGAAATGTGCAGTATGATGGAGATTGATTTGCTATGAAACAAAAACTAGGAGCCCCACATCTCCTGGGAACCGAAAAACATTCAGTGAGAGAGAATCTCAGAATGAATTGCAAGACTTTAAGATTGTTTAAAACCTTGTAAATGAAGTTTCTTTTACTATAGAAAATCTTTAACCCACATTAATGCTTAAATACTTTGAGTCACTGTGGTTTCAATTTTAAATATTTAAACTCTTTTAGTTTATTATATATGCATATACATGCAAATAAAGTGAATTTATTTTAAGAGTATGAACATTCTTTAAAGGAACATCTTTTAATAATAATAATAATAATAATAATAATAATAATTGGTATAGTACGAGGATAATAATTGGTCATGGTGGTAATAATTGATATGACAATGAAAACATTACCGATGAAAATGCATTAAAATGATTGCTTCAAAGAACAAGTATATCTTTTGATGCGGTTTAATAAAGAAATTTACTCAAAAGGACAAAGAAGATTTCCCAAACAACCCAACCAAAATGTGTTTGATTACAAAATGTTACTTTCAACAAAAACGAACGGTGGAGGAAGAAACACAATAAAATGCTAATAGTTTGTTTATTAGTACATGCTTAAACTAATAATTTGTATTTCTAGTTTCATTTTAAATATGTTTTAATTGACACGAACTGCTTCTACCTTTTACAATACAACCCTGGGTTATTAAAAAATAATAATATATAATTAGATTATTATAATACATGAATGATTTAGATCGTGTATTTAATTATTAATTTATTTATTTTAACTAAAGATAGACGTGGGATTCTTTTAAAAATTGTATCATAAATGTAATTAACTCCCTCAATTCCACATGTTTTAGGAAAAAAAATTAACTATAATTTTATAAAATTAAAAAAAAATTTAGAATATTTTAATTAATAATTAATAGAGAAATACAGAATGTATTAGAAAATTGCATAATGTTCTTTTATAAAATTTAAAATATTAAACATATTCTTTAATATCTAGTAGATACTCTTATTTATTTATTTTCTCAAGCCATAATAATATATTATTTTGATCAAATTATTGATTTGTTTATTTGTCTTAAAATATTTTAATGTTTATTTTTAATTGTATCTAGGTTAAAATTTCTCACTAAAATCTCTCATATTATATTTGAAATATATGGGTTTAATATATATGGATTTAGGGTTTATGAATTTAGAGGGATTATAGAACTGTGTTTCCCCGGCATGGTGCTCTTGTTCATTCTCCATTTGTATCAAAATATCATTTCTTCACTTACCTTTTTTTTTTTTTTATCAATTTCATCTTCAACATTTTTAATTGATTCAAAGTGCATGTGTTTCTGGGCTCTTACTTTTGATTGAAATGTTATTTTAAAAGGACAATTTTGATCATATGTTGGTCACTAATTTTCAGTCAGTTTAAGGATGTTGTCATTTCATTATCTTTTTGAATTATTTATAGCATATTACATATCTGTTTACAATTTACAATTCAACTCAAACTTATAATTTTAAACTTTTTTTTTACACAAACCAATCATAAAGTACATGATCTGTGATCAATTTCAATTATGATAGTTAAAATTACAATTCAAATTATATTACCAAACAATCTCATCAGAAAATGATAGACATAAAATTTGAACATAATATAAAATTTTCATTTTTAACATCATCTTCAATAAAAGATATTTAACATTTTGTTTGTTTGAGAGTTATTTATAATTATTTCTAATAACTTTACCATTAAATATATAATATAATAATATAATTGTTTAAAATTTATAAAATTTATTTTAATAAATAATTGTTACTTAAATTAAATATTTTTTAATAGAAGAAAAAAATGAATAAAAAAATCAGGAAAAATATTTTAAATGTTTTTACTATTAAATAAGAATTTGATTTTCTTAAATATAAGTTAGTCATGTAAGTTTTAAAAAACACAATTTCTATACATTAAAAAAAGTTTATTATCATAGATGCAATAGTCCACACAAGTTCATCTTTCTTCTAGATTAACTTTATATTAACCAATGATTTCAAATAGCCAATTTAACTGAAAATTGTGAACCACTACCCACAATTTTGAAGCAAAAAGCTAATCAAAATCAGTGATAAAAAAGGATGATTTTAACTTTATTCTTTTATTTTTAGTTATCTTTACTCAAGAACGTTTTTTCTAAACATGAAAAAACTGTGTAAAATTCACACGTCACTTCTAATTTTATCTACAGAGACCCGACCCGACACGCGGAATAAACATTCATGCAAGAGAGTTTTGAAAGCTACCATATCTTGTTCACTGTATTTTCAAAACCAAACGCTAGTAAAAGGTGATATACAAATCAAACGGCGAGGACTAACAACAACATGAACTGAAGAAAAGCCTGGATACTGATGTTATTCCTGCAACATGTGAATCTTTAATGGTGACATAAAGATACAATATTCCTATTTCGTATTTCCAGTTAAAAGCTGCCTCGTAGATCAAACAAATGAAGAAAGAATAATACCATTCCTCTTGAACCATGGCTGCCAACTAGATCCAGAATAAACAGTAGCTCCAAAAGCAAGAAGTAACATCTCAACTTCTAATTCTACTGCCAAAGGAAATTCACTGGCAATTTCTGAAAGCAAAAAAGCATAATATATCACAACCTCCTTCCCATTTTCGCAAACCTTCGGGCTACTCCAAATATAACGGCCTTAGTTAGTAGTCCTTGATCAAGAGTGCAGGCAAGAGCAATGGCTCCACCAACAATTAGAAGCTTAGGTATGTTCCTACCAACTGGTTTGTCAGAAGAATCTTGATTTTCAGTCTCCAACAAATCACTGGTGGTGTTTTCCAGAGACCTCATATAGTCCATACTAACTTTGGAGTTGATGTTAGCAGCGCAAGCGCAGGGTGATAATGGTACACCAGAAGCCCTTTGTTTTTTGTATGTTCTTAGTCCAGGATCAAACTTCTTGACAGCTCCCCACATACCCTGTCGAACTCCAAGCTTAGCAATTTCCCAGGGTATGCCCATATCTTCGTGATGAAATAATAATACTTCGCATGAGGTCAGCTGGCCATCTTTTCTTGATTTAACTAGATCCACATAAGCAACAGATGCACATAAGTATCTACTGTCAATAGAACCATAATTAATGGAAATAATAAAGAATTTAAAGATGTTATGTTCTAAATGGCACATGATGAGAAGAAACGAATAAAAGCTTCTTATTATTACATCAACAAAACAAAAGTCATATAATATTTATTTAAGTAATTTAAAGCATTTAATAGGCTGTATTTAATGTTTTCAAACCAAGATCCAATAAGCACACAATAGAAGAAAACCCTGTTAAAGATTTCTTTGGCATCCCCCGTTGCTAAAAATCTACTTTAAGGAAAATAAAAAGATTATGGTCATGTTCAATCATTTATATGAAACAAAAACCAGTTCAATCGAACCCCAGTTGGATTTCAAATTCCAAGAGATTTTTTATGAGAAAGGAGTAAACTCAAAAAATAAGTTCAAGTACGTTTAGACATAGATATATGGAACGCAGGTTCAGTCAGATGCAAATTGGTAATATTTGGAGATTGGATCGTAACACAATTTACATGTTTTAAGTATAGTTTTAGACTAGCAAATCAAAATCCTAAAACATCTGTAAGACCAACATGATGCATGGTAGCAAAATTTGGCCAGTGAACTGTCAGAAAAATTATATATGCAGCAGAGAATGGGATGCTGATTGCAGAGCCAGATGAATGAAAATACTAATACAAGAGTACATCAAATTAAATATGCATGTGAATGAGAGAGTTTATGGGATGGCAAAAACTAGGCTTGGTACTTTGGTCATTAAAGAAGACAGAAAGTGGCTCCATAGAGAAGAAGTGTAACAAATTGTAGCCAACCCAATTAAAAGGAATGGAACAAGACCTCAGAAAATATTGAGAAACTATTAAAATATCCTTGCTCTAAATTATTTCACTTAAATTTTGTTTTTGAACAGAGCTCACTGAGATCCATTTAAGGTGAAATAAGGCTTGGTTGTTGACAAAATCACCAGGATAACAAAGGGTAAACCGTATGTCAAAGGTCCACATATACTATGTTTCTGAAGACAAGAGAACCACTCAAAATAAAATGTCTGAAAGCCTGCACTGGTTTTGTTCTCAAAACTATTAAGATAGATAAGGAAAAACTTCTACACCCCAGTACTCAATTCCAAATTACATACTGGTAAGCTTTTCTAAAATCATAGATTTTAATTTTGATATGTACAAACACGTACTCATAATATCTCAACAAGTCAAATGCCAGTTAAATAAAGTGTGCTTTCAAGAATCAAGCTCTAAACTTCCTAGTACCTGCACGAATACACCAGCTTGAATAATATAAATCAACTCGTTTAGGTTTGTTATGCCTTGGCATGGAGAGGCAAGGTACTCCCTGAAGAAGCAAAACAAGCCACAAGTCAATATCACAAACCAGATAAAAGATGATTCCTTGCAAAATGAAACATTGTCATAATTACCAAACAGTCCCTGTTTAAAATTGAAAACAGTTTATTTAATTCCAGTAAGTTAAATTTAATTAAGACTTCCAAAAAGACTCAAGTAAAGTAAATCTACGACTATGTAGTGCCCACAAACTTCCACTAGTTTAACATTTGGTTTCCCCATTATAACAAAGCTGACGGAAAAGTAAGTAAAAATTAGCTCTATAACTCTTCACACACAAGCCAAACCAAATAATAAAACTACAATCAAAGACGGACTCAACAAAAAACACAAGCAAAATGACGCAGTACGTAATAGTATCCAGCAGATCCATCCAACCTTTATTTCATAATGGACATAAGAAAAGAGAGAAATTAAATTCTAATTATAGAAGAAAAAATAAATTTCTCTAATTGATAAAATTAATCTTTTCATCAGAGCTTCTATAAATTAGAATAGAAGTATGTATGGACAAGCTTCTCCCCAAGTACTCGAGAAAAAGAAGAAAAAAAATGAAATAATTTCTCCCCATGAACAATTTTTAGCCTATGCTCAAGTTAAAAACAAATTTAGAAAAGGCATATGATAAAGCTTCTAGTACAAGTTAGCTTATGCAAAAACTAACTTTAGATATATGATCGAGAAACTAATGTTAATTTTTTTTCTCTCTTATAATTATTAATGGAGACACTCATTCAAATACTAGGTTCTACAAAAGAAGAAGAACTTCTATAAATTTATTTAAGATTTTAATTTAAATTTAGTTTAGAGAGAAGTTTGTTTTTTTTTTATTTTTTTTTTCTTCTTCAATAGATATACAGAAATAATATTTAGGAAGGAAAAATAAAGTTTATTAAAAATTACCAAAAGCATATGGAGAAGGCATTGAACATGCAATTAATATGATAGGAACAAACCTTTGTGACACAGTAGTAAATTTGGCCAGCGTCCCAAATGCGCCTCCCTATGATATACTCTCTGTCACTGCAAAAGAAGGGAAACTGTAGCCAATTGCACACAACATCAAAAAACAACTTCAGTACTTGTCTTGGTTGCATTGCATAACTATGAGAGTGGAAGAAGCTAACCTTGCGCACCCAGTGCACCATCATGGCACCAGTGAGGGCACATTCTTGTATAGTCGAAGCGTGAATAAGCATGTCATCCCACTTCAACCGAAACTCGTCGTCCCAAAAGAAATCCCTCACCAACTCAGGACTCGCGTCCTCGAACACCGTTCTGCTCCGGTACTGCGGCGGTCCACTCTGCCACACATGCACCCTCACTCATCACACAGTTCAATCAATCAATTAGTCAATCCAGTAGAGTAATGCGTACCTCGGGATCCCTACGCCACGCTTGGTAGCTCATGGTGGGGGTAGAACGGTCCATCATCTGAATCCACGCGGGGCCTCCCTCTTTCTCCTCAACCAACTTCCACAAATGCAGCAAATCATGCTCCGTCACCGCCGCATTTCCGCTGGCGTCTTTTTCACGCTCGAAGGAACTCCCATCACTGCACGTGAGCAAGCGAAATTAGAAAAAACGAAACTGAAATTAGGAATTGGTTGGAAATTGGCGGAAGAAGTGACCTGGTGGTGGTGGTGGTGGAGTAGGTGAAAGCCGTGTCGTTTAGGGGATTGGAGGGGCGAGGGGAGCGAAGCTTTTGGAGAGCGTGTTTGGGGTCAAAAGCCCAGTTGGGCTTCCAGGCCCAGCCCAGGACGACGCCGACGATGACGGCAATCCATAGGGGAGTGATAAAGACGGCGAGGTCAGTGATTATGTCGATAATGATTGTAGGTGTTCGGAAGAGAGGAATAGGCATGGTGGATGGATAGAAGGGTCGAAGCACTTGCAGGTCCGAAGATGAATCCCCACCAGAATTAGGGGCAGAGAGAGAAAGATAAAAAAATGGGGGGAAGAGTGAGAAAAAGATATGGGCTCACTCAATTGCGTTGCGGACCGATGCATTGCGGATAAGGATTACCAGATAAGCGGTCACGACGCCTCTTTCCGAGATTACCGTAGGGCCCTACCTACCCTGTTACAAACCAATACTATAATTTTCTTAATACTTATTATTTTACTTCATAACCTCAACCGTTCAAATAACTTAAGAGGAGGTATATATATAATAAGTGGGACCAGTTTCGGAGAACAAACCATCGAATGATTGAATGAAGTCGTGAATTTTTTTTTAAGAGGAATGAAGTCATTGAAAATAACGAGTTAAGTCGATTAGTCAATGAAAAATGCTATTTACACTTCTTTTAATTAAATATTAAATATATATTGTAATGATTAAAATATCATTAATCTAGTTAATTAATAAATTTCAAATTATTATATAATAAGAATGATGATTTGACTATTTTTTTATGAATAATATGTTGAATATAGTAAATAAACCTGTTAAATACAATGAACAATTGATGAAGTGTTCGTCGACCTGAGTTGAAAAATAGATAATTATATTTTTAATTTCTATTTTTTTAAAATAATTTCTATCAATTGGAACTATTTATTGTCACTGACTACTACGAATGGAGGTCGGTGATGTAAATCTTACTGACAAGTATATAAGTTATGTTAGAGAAAACTACATAAACTAAACACACACAATTATTTAACTCAAGGATGTAAGTACCAAAAGTGCAATCAATCCAGAAATAAAAACTAGATAAATCCTATTGTTTAGATCAGCCATAGAGAGGTTATTTTACGATATAATACAAGATAATAATTTTTTAATGTTATCAATTTGTACAAATGTATGAAAATAATCAATTTGCTAAAATACATTTTGAAAATATATAATTATTAAAAAATCATTTGGTTGAGGATAATAGGATACCTCTCAAATCATCTATGCGATAATAAACTTTTATGAACCGTGAAATAGAAAAATACAAACTTTTTATAAAATATGTACTTATTGGAGAAAACAGCTTAATACGAGTAAAAAGCTATTTTCTAAAATAATTAATCAAATCTAAACATGAACCTACATGTAGTTCAAACTGAGTGTACAACATATGAACCAAAATCAATTATAAAGGCTGGTAGCCTCGCGCCTTCAGAGTTTCGGATGATACAGCCAAAGTAACACTTGATAACTTTCCACATCTCCCAGCTGCAACTAGTAAAGAGCAAAATTTTGAAGGGAAATAGGCTTCCGGACCCACACGTTTTCTAATTTTATTTTGTTTTTCTCTTTCTCTATAACCTCCACTCAGGTGGTTAAAAAAAAAATCAAAAGATTAAGGTTGCATGAAATTGCATGAGCAACCTCGGAGGAACTACAATTTACAGGTGAGAAGGTTAGGCGTATGAACAATTCCGTCCAAATAATGAATTACCTAGGGCGGTTGTGATTTGTGAATCTCTTCTTTGAGAAGTTGCGCAATTTGGTTCCTGTCAGCCTCTGGCCTATTGTCACTAAGAATGCTGTACAACGACTTCAATTCTTCTGCATTAGCCTTTTTACATAGGCTCCTTAGTACTGCAACAACTTCAACGGGAATGTGCTTATTCAAGAGAACTCCTTGACCATTTCCACCACTCACATTGCTTTGGCATGATTGTGAAAACTGTCCTAGAGGACGGGAGTAGGGCCGTGAGTCCCAATATTCATTACACACTCGACTTCGATCCAGAGCCTCAATAGCCTGTTCAAAGAAAGTAGGTATGTTCAACTTGTAGCTATCAAAATTCAAATCGATGCCCAAAGGAAAAAAATTCAAATTTAGCTTTACAGATAATAACAATATGGATGAAAAATCAGAAAGAAGTTTACAAGCCCACAGCCCTAAGAACAAGAGTACTTTTAAAATCCAGATGTAAAAATGTGAGAAGATTGAACATTGCATTAGTTGTGTTCGTGTTTACTTAGCCAAGGGAGATGAAATATTCGTCAAAAAATATTGAAGCTAGTCACACTCCTAGAGTTCCATTAGCCCTCATCGTGGTAAGATACTAGCTGAGTGTTTGATTTGTCCATCTCCTGTTATTATTGTCTGTTGAAAGTCCAACATCGCCTACCTCATATCATTTGGTAGGGTTTAAATACATGTTAGGTTACTCCACATATTGCCAATTGGTTTTATGTTGGAACCTTAACATGGTATCAGAGCCAAAGCCTAACATCTTTCCGGTTATTGTCATGGGCCAAAAGTTACCCTTTAGTTGGGTCAAAAGTACCCTTTGCCTGGTCCGGCAGGCTTCGTTGGAGGGGGTGTGTTGAAAGTCCCACATCGCCTACCTCATATCATTTGGTATGGTTTAAATACATGTTAGCCTACTCCACATATTGCCAATTGGTTTTATGTTGGAACCTTATCATTGTCAATAAATCGGAAAACAGGTTTAAAAGAAATGCTTGGTTGCATTTTAATGAAAAACCCTTCTTGTTGTTTCCCTAACATATCCTACTGCAAAGATATAACTCAATCCTAAATCACTAATCTAAAAAAAGCTATAAAATTAGTTATATGTAAGATTTACATATTAGTCTGTGAAAGGTGACGAGAAACAAGAAATTGAATAGAATTTCCTTTGGGGCGCATGTTATACATAAATGAGTCCTTGGAATCATAAATGGTTTTAGGTCCTATTTGGATAAAAAAAATTTAGATGCACTTACGGGAGAAGAAATAAAATAATAAAATAAATTGAGCTTCTCAGAACAATAGGCTAAATTCAATTCTTATACTTAACTTTTATAAAAGCTTTCATTTAACTTATCCAAAAGCTGAAGTGCATGAGTTCATTTAGCTTATGTTTATAAGATACGTTCAATGCATTTAACCTTTTTATTTTATTTTCCCCCAAGTGTTTATCAGTAAAACTACCTGCACTATTGCTGGTGAAGAAAACCCAAACATTTCAAAGCCATCAAGGCTACCAGGAGGCTGTAAAGGAGGAAGGCCCTTTCTTCCCAACTTATGTTGCTTTGCAATTTCTTGATTGACTTTCTCTCTGACCAGCTCCCAGCATCTTGCAGCTGACATATGAATGAAGACCTCACTTGGACAATTTTCCAAGGAAACCTGAGGGGAAAAACAATGTTTTAGTTATTTTACACACACCCTCTTCCCAGTTCCAGTCATCTAATTACTTACACCAACCTATTTCTATGTCCAGAGAAATTTTAAACCAAATACATCTAACACCTAAAAATTTTAAAAATATCAATTTTGATCTAACTAAATAAGGAAATAACTTGCTTATTAGCTTACACACATGATTGCCCTAACATACCAAACACCTTTTTTGCATTTTTTCCATGACTCCATGGATGCCCAGAAGCCAGAATGATCCGTAATGAAATTACCAAGATAAAGGGGCAATTGATTCTCAACAACATTACAAGTTAAAAGGAGAAACTTCCGAAAAAAAAAAAACTTTTGAGGAGCCAGGAATCTTCCATCAAACTTTTGCCCACATGATGAGGGTAAAACTCAGTAAGATATTACCAACAAAAGATTTACATTCCAAGTACGCCAAATTTACATAAAAAATTATAAAACAACTTTCGCAACATATTTATATAAAAAAATATAATATAATATATATATATATATATATATATGAGAGAGAGAGAGAGAGAGAATGATTCACTTACTCTAAAAATAAGAGTTAATGACTTTTCTTCCTCATTTTTTTAATATAATAATTTTAAATAATACCTCATCTTAACCATTAAATTAAGGAAAAATGAATAATGAGGATGAAGAATTAGTCTCTAACTCTTACTCTTGGACGAAATGAATCCCTTCTCATATATATATAAGGACAGTTGCATAACAAAGCTTGCAATTGAAAATGAGGAGGTGAAAGTACCATAAATAAAGGCCAACCACGTCCAGCATCAAGTATTTCTGAAATATAGTAACACATACTGGATGGATTTAAGACATTTATGTATCTAACACGGCTTCTAAATCCTGCATCAATTAATTTAGACTGCATAAATACACATATTACAGACTCAATTAAACATTGTCAAAGAAGCTGTAATTCTTTATAATCAAGTGTACATACCCTTTGGAAATATAGCCTGACTACTACACCAAGACTTTCCAGAAATCACAACTCCAAATTCTAATGGTTCAACATTGCAGTTGATGCGCCGGACAACCTTTGCTATTCGAGGACCTTTCTGACGGAAATTGTTTGGACCACAAGAAAAGTTCCCATTAACAGCTCTTGTATTGTCTGCTACATTAGAAGAGGCACATCCTCCCAACTTTTCGTGATTATCTTCTGTCTTAACCTTAGTGCTAGAAAGTTGTGGGTTCAGAGGAGAAATCTCCAAAATTTCCAAACAATGATCACTGGCCTCTACTTTTGAAGGAGATGGAATATTTTTCGTAGACTCCGTACTTGTAAGACCTATATGACAAGAAAGATCTAGTGGGGTAGAGGCTAGAACTAATCCTGTGTGTTCATGACATTCTTGTTTCACATGCAAAAGCTGAGTTGAATCAGAACTCATATTTTCACAGGGTAATGTAATAGCACCCTTTTCACCCATCACAGCAGTCTCTGTCACAGAAATGGTCAGGTTTGTATTTTCTATATTGTTACATGGGCTTGCCTTATCTCTAGGACCTACAAGCATAGAAGAAAGTTCCTTCCTTCTATTTGAATCAGACATCTTTTCATCATCTTCATCGTCACTAAGAAGTATAATATTGGTATTATGTCTGTAAAGTGAACTTTTCTCACCTCCTTGTTGAGCTGGAGTAGATAAAGCATTCGATGTATCCTCTTGAGATAGTTGACAACCAGGCGTTTTCATCTTTGATCTGCAAATAACAGATTCTTCTTTAACACAGATCTTATGGTTAGCCATCTCAGATGTAGGTTTTGAGCTTTTAAATGTTAGCAATTCCTTCATTGAACTCAAAGAAGAATTAGCTTCGGCTGATTTTCTCTGTTGAAAATAGCTCTGATCTTTGCTATTTGCTTGATTCTCTATTGGGACATCAATCAATTGAGAATCATCAATATATTTATCTGGTGGATGCAGAACCACCTCTTTATGCACAATGGCCCTGGAAGAATGAGACAAAGTGGATGAATGTGATTTCAATTCTTTAAGTATTGTTTCCTTGTCTGCTGAGTCATAAGATGATAGCGCCAGCCCAAGATCCGATTTTGCCCATCTGTATATTGCGCTTAATTTTCCTTCCAATGCCTCCACTAGAATATTTAGTTCATTAACATCATACCGAAAGAGGAAAAATCTGGAATCCCAAGAGCATGAACAAAGTTGCTTTGCATGATCTAAGCAAGCATATAAATCCGGGGCACAGCGACAGCCAGCTGCAGATAGGTGTAAATCAAAAAAGCATACGTTGCATTCCCTTTCATTAGTAGCATCAAAAGTACTCTCCATTTTTAACGCCTGTGAAGAACTGCAGAGAAATTCCCTTCTTGCTCGCTCCATCTCAACACGCATCTAGAGAGGAAACACAAGTAAAACAGGGAATGAAATTATTAATATTAATGTTCAATAGAAGAAGGCACCGGAGATGTATTTTTATAGAATTTGGATTCACATAGTTTCATTCATTTATCACAGTTTTGCATTTAATTTTGATTAATACTTTTAATATTTTAAATTTTTCTTGCCATGGTGGGGTGGAGGCCACTTATTAATCAGAGGGATGAATTTCAATGACTTTGGAATTGTAATTGACAGATAATATTTGCTCTGTCGTAAGAAGTTTCATATTAAAATGAGGTTCCCAAATGTTCAGCAAATAGAACAAAAATTTCAGAGGTTAGTTACAATACTGGGGAATTAGAACAAAAGTTCCAGCGTTCAGGAATTTGATCCTAGGCACCCCCATTTTTATAAAATAAAGTTGAATCTCAAAAAAGGAAAGAAGGCCTACGCATGAATTAGAGTTCAAGCCCAAAAGCATCTTGAGTAAAGAGGTGTATAACATATAAAACCATTAACGAGATTGAGCGTTCACCTAAAAACTTAAACTTTTAGGATAACTGGTTAATGGCACATAGGAATCATTGAATTGTGATTTTTCCTGTTTTTTTTTTCTCATTTTTGGCCAACAACCTTTGTCCATCCATATTGAAATCTCTTTGTACCTCCAAAAAAACTTCATAAAAGAATATTTAAATTCAATATAGCACTTTATGCTTTCATTTTACAGACTTTACACAAACAACTATCGTAATGAAAAAGAAAAAGGCTTAGGTGGGGATGAACAGAGAAAATATCCAAAATCACTGAACTATTCAACATTAAATTCAACTATAAGGCTGAAATCCCTAAAATAGATAATAAGACTTATATGGTAGACAAGGTTATTTTATCAAGACTCAAATTGTGAATGCCAAGCTAATTTTTTTATTGTGAATCATAATTTGTCTCGAAGTGCATGATTAAAAAAAGGATAATGAAAAAATAATTTCAAACATATCATATTGATGATTTACAATGTTCAATGTAATAATTTCAAACTCTAAAACTGATAAAACAACTTAAGAATCAAACAAAAAAATATCATTTATATGTGAAGCCTCTATTTCAGAAAATGGAAACAAAGCAATGAAATATCCAGATGACAGGTGGCGTATTGTAGGATTTAAATTGTGAATCATAAGATTCTAATATCTATTAACAAGACTACTTAAACATTAAGTCCCTTATTATTGTCATGACATAGGTTAATACAAAATCATAAACATCATCCCTTCATACTGCATTATAGGGATTAGGGAGAAGCATAATTTACCTTAAGTGCTTTTGCCAAAAGGCCATCCCTTCCACAGACATCCTTCCATCGTAGATTATCCAAAGTATTCTTCTTCAGCAAATGAAGCTCCCATTGGGCTCGTACTGCTTCCCTTGCAGCCCCCAGCAACAGCTTATCATGTGATATAGAAGTCTTGCGCCCCTGCTCCTGGTACAACTCTATAGCAATATGCCCATGGGGCAGCCAGTCAACAGGAGCTACATTAACAGCCTCAGCACAGTTGAAGCCACAATTGAACCCAGAGTGGTAGGCTCGAGGAAATGTCAGAACAAAGTCCCCAGGGTTTTGGACACACCTATAAACTGGTACTCCTTTAGACTTAAGGATAGAAGGAGAAAGCTGAGTGACCTGCAACAAGAAGTTAGAATACAAGCAATAAATAAATATAAGTCTTAAGAAATAAACAAGATCATCCAACAAAACTATATATCTGCTCAATAATAGAAAATGGACAGGTGGGCCAAAAGGAGAGGTAAAATATGGAACTCCGCCCAATGAGACCATAATGATAATTTCAAAATTGTTTTTGTCACCTCTCAAGATGATCAAATGACAATTTGTCAAGTGATAGAAAAACTTTTACTCACCAGCTTATGAAGCAAGTCAGGCTGTTCTTCAAAAAGTTCAGGTAAATGCTCTCTCATGGCCTCTTCCAATTTGCAGGCATCTTTTCCAGGGACTCCATACCACATTTTTGGAGCTCCCCAATGCATGTAATTCAATGAGTATAAATGGTGGTCTTCCACATGCTGCATCCACAATTAAACCATAAGATGTTATAAAAACTAAGATATTATATAACTAAGGACTCATATTCCCACACGTAAACACACACACACACACACACAAGATCAACAAATTTTCACTCAACACAAAATAAATAGTTCTAGTATTGTGGTTTACCAAACAAAACCGGGCAAAATGATGTCAGCTATACTGTGTCCCCCTATTCTCACAAATGCACATCCTTCCATCCTCAAAGTGCATACGAGGGCACATAAACACTTAGTATGTAACTAACAGTAATTGGCAAGATATTACATTGATTACAGAGATATTCCAGGAGATCTGATACAGATTTGATTAAGCTGACTTTACTTCTATTTATATCAGACTTTATTCGTGTTTAAGTAGACAGCCTATTTTTACAATATTTGCTGTACATTATTGATAAGAACCACACCACATAAGCTAGCTTTTGTAGTTCCAGAGCCCAAGGTCTTATAAACCTCACTAGAACGTCATACTTCCAATGTGGGATTCCAGTCCCATACCTTGCAATTGGATCCAAACATCCCACCTCACACCAGAGCACTAGTGCCCATGAAGACTGGCTATGAACAAGCACTTTGACTAGTCCTAGGCAAGCTACAATGTTGATGTCACCACCTGTGCAGCTGAGACATGGTGGAAGGCTATGATACCAATTGATAAGAACCTTGGGAGAACCACACCATGAAAGCTAGCTAGCTAGCTATTGTAGCTCGAAAACCCAAGACCTTATAAACCTGACACTAAAATCTCATACTTCAATGTGGAATACAAGTCCCATACCTTGCAAATGGATCCTATCAATTATGTAAATAGGATCATATATTTAGATTAAGCTCCATGTTTTCCTTGTTTTTATTAGCTTCTTCTTCTTCTTCTCTCTCTTCCCCCCCCCCCCTCCTCCCTATATATATATATATAGATTCCATTATCCATGTATACTTTTGTACAGTTGAATCAATCGGAAAAATGAATTATTTTTTACAATCTTTTCCTTTGGTCTCAATCATTGTAAGCACAAATTGTGATGAATTCATCCGAATAAATGTTAGAAAACAAGGAAAATATGTATGCCCTTACCCAACAAAAAGAGGAAAAGCACATTCCGATGTACAACCATGGCACTAGAACACCAGATATATCACTGCTTTCATAAGAGAGCAGAGATCCAGGAAGCCTAGCAAAGTTATTTAAATTCCAGCCAGATTTTATGTACTTTTCTTGTGAGGCAGAACCTACTTGACTAGATTTGCTAGGGAAACCACTCCCAAAAATCCCAGTTTCCAGATCAGCTCCATAAAGTACCTGGAGGTGATAGAAAATTAAATGTAAGGAGAGCAGCATATACAAAGGGCAACAAATAGACAATAATTTGAAGCAGCAAATTATTGAGATTCAACAGAATGTGACCTCAATTTCTTCAGTAGGAGTCTCAACCATCCGCCAATATTCGCCTTCGATGTTCTCCACAGAAAGCTCGGAGGTACCATTTAAAATTGCTGTATTAGCACCCAAATGTGAAAAGTTCTCATTTCTTCTGAAGTATTTGAGCTGAAAATCCTCTGCATATCTCTGAAATGTTTCCAAGGTAAATTCTGGACCAGGTTCAAACCCAAACCTTTCAACTTCACAGAATCCTGCATTAGGTCCTCTTCTAGTGCCATTATCCACCCCCATTCTTGTGCATCTTCTCCTTTTTCTCTTCATATTACTTTGGACTCTTGACATCTTTCTCATTGAATCACGATTCTGAAGTTTGTCAATCCTCTGTACACGTGTAGAAAATTTAGAACCCTCCCATGTACTTTTTTCTTTGAGAGGACAAGGGGGCTTCCAAGAAGACGGTGGAACAATGCGGCAAATTCCATATGGCTCGGCCCTGGAGCGAATGCTTGATATATATTTTAAAGTATCTTGAAACTCCTGGAAAAAAATGAAAAGTCAGAGGTATGGTTTTCTGATAAAGCAAGTGACAGAAACAGAACAGTCACATGGATGAAAGTGAATTCAAATGTGTCACAGGAACTGCACAAGACCTCTTCAGTAGGGTAGAAAACAGGAGCATCCTCAATATTTGGCCTCCGAGCTTCTTCTGGTCGCCATCTGGCAACAACCTGTCAGAAACTTCAATTGTCAATTACTCATCATGCAAGATAAATGCCCAATGACACCTATTTCATGATGAAGTAACTCCCTCTATAATATATGATAAAATTACTAACTCAAGTTCATTGCTGTTATTACAATAGCCAGCTCAGTGATAAGCAGGTAGACCAAGCCACTTCTATTTTAACATTCAATAAAGGACTATCCAAATTCATAAAACTTGACAATACAAATGTCATTATTACTACTTTTGTCTTTCTTAATAAATTCATCTTTTAAAAAAAATTAATATATGTCTATATTAAGTTATTAACATAATAACAATAACAAAAGAAAATGACAGTAATAGAGGAGAGAGAGAAGAATAGAGACAATAATAAATTATAGTCAATTCATCAATAATGATGCCAATAATAATTTCTGACATAAATAAATCATGTAAATTTTATAAATAGACCTTTTGGCAATTACTGCAATCTGGACATCCCCGGATGACTCCACGAGGAAGATAAGTTCTTGAGGAGAAATTCTGCATTGATATTCAAATATATTTAAGATACTAACCAGAATTCTGTGCACTCAAATATTTAGGAATGTTGTGGGCTGTATTCAATATAAAGATATAAAAAAAAAATATGAACCAATATGAGACTGACTTGATCAAGCCGCTCGCAGTCAGAGTCTTCATCTGAATGGTTCTCATATTGCCCATAATTAATCCATGGTCTTCGTCTTAGGGATCTAGGAACCTTTGCAGTTTCATGAACTTGAACATCATTTTCCACCTGAGTTGATGGTGATTCAGAAACACTTGTAGAGGTTGAACAACTGGTCATGTTTTTATCATCTTGTTTTTCATTGTTTTCTACCCTTTTCAGAGAGAAAGATGTATATGACTCAAAACCTGGTGGAACTGATGGAAAATCATCATTGTCTTCTTTAACACATATTCTCATAAGCTCAGTCCCCATCATAACCTCATTCAAAAAGGCAAAAAGCAATAATGTCTCTGGTTTGTCTTCCCTGTATGAACTAAGGACTCAGCATAAAACCATAATCAGAACATCCACGCAAACACCAAAAAAAAACACATCTAATCTGGATTTATTAACCTTACTTTGATAATAAGGGTACTTATGAAGTGAAAGACGTAGTAGAGTTTGTCGTTTCTCTGAACTTCCACTGCGCAGTAAGCTAGAAATCACATCAACAGAAGCTAATTCAAGGACCCAGTAACTTCATAAATTGTGAGAATACATCAATCTGAAATAAGTCACAATAAACAAGTAGTGTCAGCTCAGATAAGGTGATACATCATCATGCAACACAGTATCAACTTTCAATACTTTATTTGCTATTAAGTCAAAATTGTTATCCTGGATCATGTCAGACTAAAACTCTAATTACTTTCAATAACACTATTGGCATTCGTCCCAGATAATGGTAGATCTGAAAGCAAATGAATATTGAAACTTCAATATGTTCTTTTTCGGTTAATATTCGTGTTGAATCAAATAGTAATAATTGATAAATGAAGGACCAAGCCTAATGTAGGAGAGTGCATCATCTAAATGCACGAGACGACCAGCATTCTTTATCTCTTTCTCACTTATCCCTCGTCTAAATATTCTCTTTACTCTGTCAGAACCAAATCCCTAGTTCTCTACATTTCAACAGCCAGATCATGAGATAATTTTTTAGAAAAGATCAGTAATCACTGACATGATCCCAGTTATAACCTAAAAGATCCTGAAAATTTTGTTGAAAAGGACCTTCATAAATTATACCTACCATTACCTGAACTTAACAATACAGATGCATAACAGAGCAAAGCAAGCATCATTATAAACTCACTGCAATAATATTATTTGCAAATATTAAATGAATAGACACCAATCAAAAATAATAATTAATAGTAATTAATAAAAAATAAAAAATAAAAACTTAGTCAATTTTACTATAATCAAGCGATTTTGTAGTGATTAGCTAAAATCCTTACAGGAAACAAAATACCACATCCAATCAGGAGATACCTAAACGAAATCGTGGAGGAATTGCGAGTTTCTTTTGTACGGTTGAATACGTGGAAAATTGGGGTTAATACAATGGAATATCGATACAAAAAATAAAAAACAAAGCAAAAATTCGAGGTCCTATAGATGGCCGGTGATGAGAACGATGAGCATGGAGAATTGAAGACAAAGTGCAAACTCTACAAACCCTAACAAGATAGAGGAAGAAGACGATGGAGGAAGCAACATAGATAAATCTGTATCCTCTACATTAATGTCTAGATGAAATTATTTTTTTCCCTATCTTTTAGGTTTTTTTTTTTTTGGTCAACTTTCTTTTGGGGTAAACTTACAATAGTGCGTAATTTGTATAAAGTATATTTCAGCCCAAGGACATTTTCGGGTTTTTTTATAGCTTTCTCTTCGCCTCCACGTCTAGGCCTAACCCAAGCATCATAATAACTAATAGCATACTTTTTTTCATGCATATCTTTAGAAACAGTATTTGTATTACAAATTATACACGTTTGATAAGGATGAAAATTAAATTCCTATTCGTTGGATCCACCCGTCTTTATGCGAGTTTAACAGAAAAAATTTTGAATTTTGTTCGTTTTAAAAATTCGGAGACGGGGAATGGGAGATAAGTACTCGATTTCATTTCTAACCAGTCTTTATATTTAAATTTAAATTTTAAAATATTAATATTTTAAAAGTTTTTTTTTTATAAGATATTTTTTTATATTTTACCAAAATTTTTTTCTTTTATCCACTTTTTAATTTTTTTTTAATCTTTTATATCAATTAATTTATTATATTATTCTTTTTCTTACCTTTCAGTTTTTCACATTTCTTTGATTTCTCTCATTAATTTTATTTTTTATTTTTTCAACCAATTTAATGAACACAAAGTTAATTTTTTTTTTATCTTTTTCTAAATATTTTGCATAAATCTTTGTAATAACTAATATTATTTTATTTATAATTTATATTTATTAGGTTTTATTATGTCATATATTTTTATTTTATTATCCTTATTTATCATATATCAAATTTTATCTTAATAAAATAATTGTATTTTAAAGGATTTAAGGAATTGATAATTTAAACTTTTATTACTTCAAATTAATTGAATAAGAATTAACTTATTAAATATTTCCTTATAAACTATATATTTCATATTTTAAATGACAACTTAAAAATAAATTAACTCATATATATAATCAAATGTTTGAATACAGTATTATAATAATAATAATATTATAAATATTCAAATATTTAAATATAGTGTTATAATAATAATAATGTTATAAATAAAAAATTATTAAATATTTCTTTTACATACTTATTTTAATATAAATATAATAAATTAAAATGTATATTTAATTAATAATAATTATAAATTATAAAATTATAAATATTTATTTATATATAAAAAATAGATAGTAAAATTAATTTATTATAAATGTAATTATCTTTTTTAAAATAATATAAATCGGAGACGGGACGAGGACGGGACGGGGCGGCGAACCCAAAACTTAGTGAGGACTGGAATGATGACTTAATTTTTAACCCCGACGAAGATCGGAGATAGATACAGGGATAGTTAAAAAAGTTGGAGTCGAAAGATTGAGAGACAAAATCTGTCCCATCACGTTGTCATGCCTACTTTTAATTGTACTATTAAAATTATAAACAGTTTAATGTTTTAAATTATAACTTACTTTATACACATTATTAAATAGTTTTACATTATTATTCAATTACAAATCAATATGTATATTATGTTTCTTACTTGTATAATAATTATTTTTAAAGACAAATCAAATGTAATATATATATATATATATATATATATATATATATATATATATATATATATATATGATTGAATGATTAAGTAATAAAAGTGTATGAATATTAAACTCTATACTTTAAATTCTCTCTGTTTTGTTTTTATTGAAAATCTCTATTGTAGGAGTAATGGGAGTTCATGCTTCGATAATAAATATTTTTAAGCAGTAATGTATAATATTAATCAACCTTCTTAATCATTCTCAAGACGATCGTATAGAGTAAGTAATGTTTTTATAGCATAGTTCAATTAAATTTTAAGAGAAAACCATAAATAAATAAATAGTTAAGGTTGTTTTAATATAAAGAAACCATTACAAAGTATGATTAAAAAAAAAATTTTGAAATCTAATAATGATACCACTTATTTGTATATTTAATTTATTTTGTTCTATCTTTAAAAAAAATGTAGTAAAAGTGACTAGTGTACGGTGCATATTACTTACTATATTAAACAAAAATAAAACAATAGATTTTCATGAAATATATTTCTATTAACAAATATTTTTTTCTTTAAGGAGTAGAGATTATTATAAATTGTTTTTTTAATTAAATTTTTATTATTCATTAATTTTAAAATATAATTGGATTATACCTGGTAGTAGGTCCAACAATCTATTTTGATTCATTTTATTTAACCGGTTAATTAGACTTTCATAGTAGAGTGGACTAGTTCATTTATTATTTTTAAAATATATTTGTATATTAAAATAAAAATAATTACAATTAAAAAGATTTTTTATTATATTATTCAAATATATAAATAAAATATATTTTAAATTATAAGTATAAATTATAAATTATAATTAAATATAATATTTTTTAATTCATTTAATAAAAATTAATAATTAATTAATTAAAATATATTTATATAGTTAAATGTATATTTTTTAATATATATATATATATTGTCGATTTCTTAATCAGTAAATATATGCTTTAATGGTACGGATTAATATGCTTTAACCATTAAAGTGACATTGTTAAAAAATTATACATATTATAAGATTGAAAATAATTGATAGGATATGGTAGAAAATTAAGAGCAAATCTTAAGCATTGTAATGAATGCATCAAGTTTCAAAAAGTTAGTCCCGAGTCTTTGTTGGAATAAGAACATGTACGATATTTCATGTGAGAAATCTTCTCGATTTTTGTGAGAAAAAGCAATTCTTCAGAGAAAGATGAAATTGGTTCAAGTTTCCACAAAACTATCTTTAACGGAAGAACACTAGAGAGAAAAAAATTAGTTACATTCATACTATAAAATATGCATAATTTGATGCAATACAATTTATACAAGAGATTATTATTCTCCTCATTCTCTCAATTAAACATTTTTAATATTTACTTTTTCAGTTACATTTTACAATCCATCATAGTAACTAGTAAAAAATAATTCTCTCATTATTTTAAACCATCATTATATTATCCTTGAGTAACCATTTATTTCTCAATTCACCATTTGTATCTTCATTGCTAAAATAAATTTCAATTTTAAATTTTAATAATTAAAAATAACCTTATAACACCTTTAAATTGTTAATTGGTATTTTTATATATAATCCATATATGTATTAAAAACTATGTTCACGAATGATAATTAATATTTAAAAATATTCGTTTATTACATATTTTAATTGTATAAACATTTTTTTATTAATCTTATCATTAAATATTACTTTAAAATTTTACAATACCATTTTAATAAAATTGAGATAGAAAATTGAAAGTTAAAAAGAAAATTTATTTTTTCAAAGAGTTAACAAAAATATTCCCACTGGTTAGAGTTTAAATCTAATTTTGGGTTTTTAATTCAACATTTTAAATGCCCCATCCCATCCAGTAGTCACATCAACTAAACTAAAAAAAACTTGTATAAAGTAAATACAACTAAGAAAATAGTTTAAACAAACTAAATTGAACCATTATTTAGTTTAATTAACTAAATTTTATATTTAAAAATCAAATATCTTTTAAATTTATCTAATTATATTTCACATTTTTTAGCTTAAATATATTCTTTATTATCCAACTTTGTTTTTGTTAGAATTATAATTTTATTATATATTATAAAAGATAAAAATAATTTATGATAAATAATT